CCGCCATTAAGACTTGGGCGCCTCACTTTGAACACTCATGATGAATTGTTACGCTGTGCAAATCGTTCAATTTCTTCAGTAAAAGGCTTCGATTTTTTAGCTTAAGAACCTAAACATTGCACCCCCTTTGGACCAAAATCTAATTTTTTTCTAACTTGACCATTCAGAGACCCGCTGGCCAACAAGTGGCCAGCAGGCCATTTTTGGTTGGTCGGTCGTCCCTCTTCACGGCCGATCAGCGATGTTTCCCGACAAATAGATATTTTCAGCTGCCAGTTGTCCCCATGTGCATATCTTGCACCAGCTGGCTCATTACAGATATTTTTGACGTGAGAACCTATTTTTCTATAAATACATGACCTCCCCTCATGGTTTGGGGTTAGAAAATTTCTCCAAGAACCAAAACTTGTCCAACACACTACCTCTCTCTTTTGCATTATACATACACTATACATACACTTCCTAAGCCTAAGCTTGAGCCCTCTTGCTAAGATTCTTTAACTCAAATTTTAGCTCTTGAAAGTGTTCAACTTGTGGTTTGTGAACTAAAGAGCATCCTCTTTTTGAAAGAGGTATACTTTGAGCTTATATACCATTTTTTCTATCTCTTTTCTTTGCTTTTTCATATTGTTTTTCAGAGTTTATTGTAGATGTGTTGTTGTAAGTCCTCATGGATATAACTTTCAATCCATTTGAGTTGATAGTCCTTTCTTGCACTTTTTTATAGCTTTCATACATACTTACATCATTGTAATCACCTTTGCATAATCATCTCTGCAACCTCCTTCCATTCTTTTTTTATTTTGATTAAAGAGTTGTATCCAACACTAGATTATTGCTCAAAGCATAAGAAAGAGACTTTTCATGCTTAATGGTTTAATCTTTTCGGAGCTTCATTATCAAGGCATTACATCTCTCTCATGCTAAGTACAACCTCTGGTTTGACACTTCTTTTTATCGCCAGTGCATTCATTTCTAAGGGAGTAACTTCCTAGTTTAGACCCTTAGAAATCATAAAGGAAGGTTTCATTATAACTTGTTATCGGGTTTGGATTTGGGGTCATTATCACCCCTTCCGAGTTTGACTCTGAATTCATTATTGCTCATAAATGAGTTTGATTCCTCCTTTATAATTTCCCCCATAGAAAAGGGCTTGAAAAGCTCATTTCTTGGGTTAAGTCAATATTTGATACTCTTTATTGCTTTTGGACTTAGTGGACGTAATTATCACTTTTGGACAAAAAATGAAGAAAAGATAAGAAATGGAAAGGTAACGTTAAAATAGGCTAATAAACTTAGAATAAAAATGGGTAAAAAGGTAATAAAACTGAGTTGGGTTCAATCGGACATTATATTGAACCTATTGTGTCTTGACTCATTACATACTCTTTAGTGATGTTCAATGATTCAAGAAGCAATGTCTACCCATTTCCTTGAGGTAACTCCATGATAAGGAAGAAGTGTTGTTGGTCTTTCATTTACTTTTATTAAGCTTTTGTCCTATCGGTTCTAAGTTATCACCCAACAAACTTGCAATAATTGATGATTTGTGAACCGAATCTACTCCTCCCTTGATCATCTTCATAATAAGGAAGGGCAGAGAGGATAAACATGTCCTGGAAATACTCTGTTTTTGCTCTGTTTCAACTACGTGGCAGCAAGACATTTCCCAAAAAGCGGTGGCCAACCGGCCACCTTTCTGTCCAACCGACCACTTTCCAAGGCCGACTAGCCACCTATTTTGTACAGGTAGTGGTATTTTTGTGGCAAAACAGAGTAGAACCTGAGGCCAAAATAGAATAAATTTCTGACTGTAAATAGAGGAGATTCTAGCAGTAAAGAGAGATGTTTTCGGGAGAATGTTCTCAGTTGTGTGCGCGCGGTTCCTCACCTTCCATTCTAGTCTATTAACTTAGCATTTTAATATTAGTATGTTGTAATTAATTAGTTAACTTATTCGAATTTGTAATAGCTAGTTAATATAGTTAATTCATTTATTTTGTGTTGTAATAATTAGTTAATTATGACATTCATTCAGACTCTCTTGTGCAAGGGCAAATTTGTAACACTTGTAATATTGTGTATGTCTTTCATCCCCCATTTCTTTCTCCTTTTTATTTATATGCTTATCATGGTAGCATCATATTTTTTGTTTCATATCATTTCCATGTATTGTATCCATTTTTGCATGCATACGGTTCAATTCATCATTCTAACATTATTGTCATTTCCTACTTAGTTCAATACGTGCGCTACCACATGCTTTGAGTTGATCCATATGACATTTTAAAAACCAAACCTAGTAGTTTCATTTTGTATGTATTGCATTAGTAACTTTGCATATTAGAGCATGCATTTTTCTAACTATTTCCTTTCTTTTGGCTTGCCCCGATTGAGTACTAGGTGAGCTTTTTGCTTTAACATATTGCATGTATGTTTGTGTTGCCATGTTAAGCAAATTAACATGAGGCTAAGTGCTTATTTGATATATCTCTTTGAATGCCTGTGGATGCAGGCTAATTTGCTTAAGTTTGGATGATTTTGATAAAGTGTACATATGAGCTTGCTTTTTCAAATAGCACATATTCAAAGCTCTTTTCAAACAAACATGAAATCAAAGCATTCCAAAGTGGGTGACTTAGTCTATACTTGTGTGCTTCACATAGTAAATTAGCATAATAATCGAAACAAGAGCATATAACGTACATAAAAATCACATCATGATTAGTGAGACCGATCTTTGATTGGGTGAGTGAAGTGCTCAATTCATAACCTTCCCCTCTCATACCTAAGTTCTCGAGTCGAGACACTTTGGTTGTGACGGAAAAGTGGCCCTTGGCTTTAGTCACGGGTTTCCTGAATTTTCCAAAAATATTTAGGTGGCGACTCTGAAATCTGGTAATGCAGTCCATTTTTGGCATTTCTGATTGTAAATCGATTTTTCAAAGATTTGCCAGCTTTGGACTCTCATTTGCGTTTTTCTGTTTTACGTTGCATTGTGAAACCAGATTCAGAACCATGGGGGTCCAAACTGTAGGGCTATCGTATCCGAGGAGACTAAACCCCTTCGAGGAGTACGAAAAACTAGCTATAGGCTTCAACAAAATATGGAATGAATTTTGTTAGTGAATTTGTCACTCCTGAGGTATGCTAAGTACATAAAATTAGTAATTGTAGTGTGTATTATCACTATGAATACTAGTTTTTTTTTTTTTTTTTTTTGTATATAGATATTCAAGAGTCGAGAAGTATTAATTTGGTAGGTTTGTGACATAGGAAGGAAGAATGGTTTTGTAATTGTTACAAAGAGAGCTGATGCGGGTGGCAATGATTTTGTAATTGACGTTGGGTCATTCTATTCCACCAATAACAATAAATTGGTAAACATATCTTCGCCCATGTGCTACAGGATGGGACACCATTTACAATACTCGTATAAATGTTTTCAAAAAGATTGTTAATGTTGATGTTTCAACGAAAGAGATAATAGACTTGAAGTTATATCTTCTTTATTGTTTAGGTACTTCTAATGAAATGCTTGAATATGATATAGATGGTTTTAAGGGCTTTCAATGTGTTTATAACATTAAATGCTATAAATGATACAAATTGCAAGCATTTAGTATTTTAAGTATCAAAAGTTATTGTTTGGAACTGAGGCAATTTAATATTTTTAGAATTGACTATCTCGATAGGAAAGCTGAAAACAATTTTCTGTTGTTCGAAGCCAAGTATCCACACATGTCTCATTTGTTTGAATTTAAGTATCCGGACATATTTCGTTTGTTGGGCACTGAGTATCTAGATGAAAAAGTTGCAACCAATTTTCTATTGTTCGAAACTAAGTATCTAAACATACTTCATTTGTTCGACACTAAGTATCTGAAGAAACTTCATATAGGTTCGGAATTAAGTAGTCAAACATATATAATTTGTTTGGCACTGAGTATCCAGGTAAAAATGCTGCAACCAATTTTCTATTGTTCGAAATTGAGTATTTGAAGAATTTTCATAGGTTCAATTTTTAAGTATCCAGACATATATAATTTGTCCAACACTGAGTATCTAGATGAAAATGCTGCAACCAATTTTCTATTGTTCGGAACTGGGTATCTGAACATATTTAATTTGTTCGTCATTATCACTTAGTATTCGAAGAAATTTCATATGTTCAGAATTAAGTTTGCGGACATGTATAATTTGTTTGGCACAGTGTCTAACGGAAAAGCTATTAGTCGAGGTGTACAAAGTGGAAATTTTAGGATTTTTTATTTTTAGTTTTAAGATTATAGTAGGTATTATTTGGGGTGTCCAAATAAAAAAATAAATGTTTTAATTTTCAATTGGGGTGTTCCAAGTAATGGGATGCCCAACCTGACTTTTGGGGTGCATTTAGAGCTATTCGTGCTGGACTTTTTAAGAATTTTTTTTTTTATTTGTCCTTAATGCAATAAAGTTTTATTAGGAGAAGGTTTTTACCAAATTATCCATTAAACTATTCAAATTGAATTATTTTAAGTATATCCATTGCCCAATCTAATTTTTGGGGTGCATTTAGAGATGTCCGTGCTGGACTTTTCAAGAAAAACATTTTTGTACTGGTCCTTAATGTATTAAAATTTTATTATTAGAAGATTTTAACCAAATTCTCTATTAAAATATTCACATTGAATTATTTTAAATATATTACCCATTTTGACCCACCTAAATCCACCGGTTCTCTACATATAGGCAGTATCCATTGTGCATATTATGGACAACAGTATGTGGTATAATAAATGTCAAACATAGGCTGCTAAGTGAGTATAATTGATTGTAACTTGTAAGTCATTCCACAAGGGACTTTGAAAAGAGAAAAAAAATCTAAGGACTTTTCCAACAATAGAGCATGTATCCACAAATAAGCTCACAGGTGTGCTTTGAAATTGAATGATTTAGATCGGTCCTTGTCAATATGTTTATGGCGTGATTGACCTGGCTGTGGAGCCATGGAGGCCTCTCTCTCTCTCTATATATATATATATATGATGGTAGCTTTGTATGGTTATTGTCACACCACCATAGCTTATTCTTCCTTTTTTCTTTCCATGGCTCTTAAAATACCTTCCCTCATTGCTACTATGCTACTACTTGTGGTGCTAATGGCTAGCCTAGACTTAACAGGTCTCTCTCTCTCTCTCTCTCTCTCTCTCTCTCTCTCTGTGTTAATAGTAGATAGAAGATGAGGGTTTATTCTCTCTCTCTCTCTCTCTGATAATAATAGATAAAGGGTTATTCTTCTTTTAATACAATTTGACATTATTTTTGAATAAATTACACTGCTTTTGCCATAAGGTTTGGAAAAAATATACTTAAACATCATAATAATAACTACAATCCTGTAAAATTTAATTCACGTAACGCTTTACACTTATTCTATCACTAATTTCTTAGTTATTTATGAAAGAAAAAATAGTGATACATATCGTCACTTTTACTCTAAAATATATACTATACCCTATCCACACTACTTGCAATTGTTGCTTGCTTTTAACTTTGCTGAAGGGGAAGGTTGTGAGACTATGTCAATTTTTTTTTTTTCACAACCTCAGGGGTGATTAGCATATGTAATATCTCCCTAATTTTTTTGTTTAATCCCTATGGCAACATGTACATACTGGAAATTTCAGGTAGATCACAACTAATGATATCAGTAATTAGACAGCCTATGGACTAGACCAAATATGGATGTTGGGCTTCAGATGGGCCTGGGTAAGCTTCCTCCTCGTAAGACCTGCAACATATCCTTGAGAACCCATTAGAAGGTGTCCTCGAAGGCCCTCTAACGGTCAAGTTAGATATGATCGTGAAAGAAGATAACCGTAGAGTGAAAGTATATAAAAGCATGGCGAAAAGGAAAGAGAAAATGTATGTAAAATTAGGTAAAATATAGATATATTTTATTCATGTTTCACCCACTTTTTCCCTTTCAATTTCTATGTATCACCTACTTTTTCCCTTTCCATTTCTAAATCCCTCCCAAAATCTCCGACCAAACACTGTATAAGGCTGTGTTTGGTTCGGGTATTTGGAAAGGAATTTGAAAAGGAAAAGAAAAAGAGAAAAAGTAGGTGAAATGTAAATAAAATATACCTATATTTCATGTAATTTCACATACTTTTTTCTTTTTCCTTTCTAAATTCCTTCTCAAATCTCTCAACCAAACACAGTATAAATGTGTATGCATATAGAGCTTATTTCTCACAGTTGACATCTCACGTGAGGGAATAATTTTGTTAGCCTCTTGGCCAATAGTGGAATATCACCATGATGAGACGTGCCTAAGCTATGAGACAAGTTCTCTACTAACTACTGACAGTAGTTGGTGGAAGGGACCACCTTATGTTCATACAGAATTGGCCTCCTAGTCAGGTTAGATTTCCTAGACACCTCATACAGAATTGATCTCTCGATCCAATAGACGTCTTGATCAGGTAAATGTGGGTGTCTCATGGGCCAATCAAGTTCAACTAGGCCTGACACTAATCCTCATGGGCAGGCTAGCCCTCTAGGTCTGGATTTAGGCTCCTATTTGTATATCAAAAACCGTAAATTAAGTTCATCTTAAATCCAATGCAATTGCAGGTGCACAAGTAGGAGTTTGTTATGGAATGCATGGCAATTTACCTCCCCAACAAGAAGTTGTAGCTCTCTACAACCAACAAGGCATTCAAAGAATGCGACTCTACGATCCAAACCAGGTTGCTCTTGAAGCCCTCAGAGGCACCAACATTGAGCTCATGTTAGGTGTTCCCAACACTGACCTTCAGAGTCTTGCTTCTAGCCAAGCCAATGCCAATACATGGGTCCAAAACAATGTAAAAAACTATGGCAATGTCAAATTTAGATACATCGCGGTTGGGAATGAAGTTAGTCCATTGAAGGGTGACACTGCTCAGTACGCACCATACCTTCTCCTAGCAATGCAAAACGTGTATAACGCAGTATCCATGGCCGGCCTTGGAAACCAAATACGTGTTTCCACTGCCATAGAGACAGGAGTCCTTGGAGAGTCCTCCCCTCCATCAAAGGGCTCATTCAAGTCTGAGATTCGATCATTTCTTGATCCCATCATCGGCTTCTTAGTAAACAACAAGGCTCCTTTACTTGTTAATGTGTACCCTTATTTTAGTTACATAGGCAACGCGCAAATTAGTCTTGATTATGCTCTTTTCACAGCTCCAGGAGTTGTAGCCCCAGATGCTCCATCTGGGTATCAAAATCTGTTTGATGCTATCGTGGATGCTGTTTACTCAGCACTTGAAAAGGCGAGTGGTGCTTCTTTGGAGATCGTTGTGTCAGAGAGTGGATGGCCTTCGGCTGGTGGTGGAACTGCCACTACCATTGATAATGCGAGGACTTACAACACCAAGTTGGTTGAACATGTAAAGCGAGGAACACCAAAAAGGCCTGGAAGCCCCATAGAAACTTATGTGTTTGCCATGTTTGATGAGAGTCAAAAGAACCCAGAAGTTGAGAAACATTGGGGTCTTTTCCTTCCAAACAAACAGCCTAAATACCCAATTAGTTTCAATTAGGAAATCACAAATTAAGTGTAGTAAGGCAATAAGAGCATTTTTCCTAAGTAATATGATATTCTGAATAAGGGTTGATGGCAACACCCAAACAAAGGCTAGGTACATCCTGAAAATTAACAATTGTGATAGACAAAGCTACATTGTTTCTTCAATTCTATCACAATTTGTTCTGATATTACACCATACATTACATTTTACTATTTTACTTTTTCAGGAGTGTAGGTTTTTACTATTATTCATATCAAAAGATGTGTTTGTAATAGTTCATGACATGACTTTGAAAACCACAAGAGGAAAGGAATGAGGATCCTCTCCTTGCAGCTCCCATCCTTGCGCCCGTCCTTGCAGGCCTTCGGGCCTAGTTTTAGGCCCAATTTTGATAATCTGAACCGTTCATATTTTATGATTTATTCAGTATATCATACCTGTAAAAAATCAAGTTGATTGGATATCAGAAAGCATGTGTTCGGAAAAATGTTTATTAAATTCTTTAAAAAATAGTTTTTAGTTCAATTTTTCGAACACATGCTTTCTGATATCCGATCAATTTGATTTTTTACAGGTATGATATACTGAATAAATTATAAAATATGAACGGTTCGGATTATCAAAATTAGGCCTAAAAGTAGACCCGAAGGCCTGCAAGGACGGACGCAAGTACGAGACTGCAAGGAGAGAACCTTGGCTCGAAAGGAATGAGGATCGTATTTGTGACAATTGATATATTAGCAACAATCTTACCTAGACATTGAGTTGGGTTAAAAAAATATATGTTCTGCGACTTTTTATTTATTTATTACGTAATGGATAACTCGTCGCCAATGATTTTTGTAATTTTTTTAATCCTTTTTTTGACTACTTCATTACGGTCATTAAAAACATTATTTGCACCAGCTATTTGCATTGGCCAATATTTTATGATCAGATTTTTGTGTCAGATCATTAACCGTCACAAATATTACTTTCTGCTACCAATTTTTTACATGGGCTCACCTGCCATTGCATATAATACTTTTTGTCAAACCGTTGCAAATATAGAAAATATATATACATATTTGTGTCGGCAAGAAATCGACGCAAAAAATGTTAGAAGCAAAAAGCCCTTTTTTCTAACAGTGATTGAAAAATGCAGAAAGTTAAGGCCTAGACTCATTTATATAATTTATGAGGGTTAATCAAATATAATCATCCCTCACAACCGAGGTGTTCAATGACTAATACTACTACTACTGCATATTCTCTATCTTATGCCCAGTTATTTGGAAGTACAAAATTAATCTTCCCAACAATAGCGTGGAAGCTATTGAGAAGCAGAGGGAACAGTTCAAATCCCATCAACTAAAACTAATAATAATATTCCCCTAAATCTCCATCACAAATATCAAATTTTTATTAATACCAAACATGTTTTAAGTAGCCAATTACACAATATATACACAAATCTAAAATTGTTTTCGGCTTATTTCTTGCCATCCAACAATAATTACATGATACGTACATGCATATCTCTTTTTTTCTTTTTCTTTTTTCTTCAAGTATTTACTGTTCCCTTGGAAGAAAATTAAATAAATATAAAGGAAACACTTTAAGAGCTCAAGATAACTTCACTATGCGAATTACCATCTTCCATCCTTATCCATGATTTGAGGGAGAAGGGCTGCGAAGTGATCTCCAAAATTCTAGCTCCCCTAGGCCAGTTTCCATATCCACCGTACCCGGTGTGCCTAGCATAACACAGCCATAGTTTCTTGTAAGGGCAGCACCAGTCTAATCCATGGTTGTGACCTGCAAACACTGCCTGCCACCATGCAAAAGAATACAACAAACACATTAGACTCTACCCATCAAAGCACAACCATTGGACCCCATTTTTCAAGAAACTAACCAAACACAGTGTACAGCTTGGAAACATTTTCTGCTCCCAAAAATGTTTTCATCATTAGTATAAAATGTGCAAGCTCAAAATTGAATCTTCACATTGCAAACATAGGCCATTCTAGGATTTCAAATTCAATATTTTAGCCCGTTTGCTACTACAAACACAAAATACGAGTTTGGCACATGAGAATAGAATTTGGGAAGCATGACTTGACAGTCCATCATTTCATATGAATGATTGTATATAATTCTGTGTTCTCACCTTGACAGACGGCCTGCCTTCAAGAAGTTTCATAATGCCCATTTCAGCTTGTTGAGGAGCAATTCTCTCTTTGTTAATGGAACCCACACACGACGACATAAACAGAAGCATTGGAGCCACCTTCTCATAGGCTTTACTTGGTATATGCCAGAAGATTATCTCGGGCACCCTACACAATACTGCTCCTTTTGGTTGCTAAGAAAGTGGATAAAAGAAAATCCAGAATCTTCACATTTGCCATTGTTTGTTTTGTGTAGAAACCAAAAACTCAATTCAATGGACCTTTAAAATAAGTACTCAATGTCACCCGAGTCATTTTTCAATTTCTTTTGTACCAGACAAAGGCAGATATAAGATTCTAAATTTTCTATTCCTCCATTTTCTAGGCAACCAATAGCATAAATGAAAGATCATTTAGAATAAAAACACATTATTATAGAACAAAGTAATAAGATGTAATCATTAGAGAAAAATTAGGAGGGCATGAGGATTCTTATTTCTTTCCCCTACCTTGAATCAGGGTTAAGCTCATGGGATTTTCTCTGGAACCAGTCTGCTTGACTTCTTGATACAACTTCTGGATAGGTACCACCACCGGAATCAATAAAGTACAGGAATGCCACTTGGTGATTTGGAATCATTTGATGATGAGAGTTGAAGAACATAGTTGGATATGCTTGGCCAAAGCTCCTTAGGACCAGCTCTAGAGTATGATAATGTGTTGTGCGCAATCTCATTTCTCATCAGCTCTAAACGTCGTGTGCCTCTGAAGCTACAATGTTGTTCACCTGACATTGTAGTTTGACTTTGCTTGAGGGAATGCAATATGAAATACTTTTGGAGCAATTGTTTCAAGTGAGAAATTCTAAATTGTTTCTTTTCTGCAATATCTAAGACAGTAGTGGCAGAAAAAGAATCCACATCAAGAACTCTGCATGTTGGTCAAAACCACATAAGTTCTAACCGTAAAAGAAACCAAAAAAATCATTGAAATTCAAGCTGGGTCAAAAGGAGATCTTGTCCAGAAAGTGCTTAAACAATGAATTTATTAAACTAAAAATTCAATATAATTGGCTAATGTACCAAAAATCTGCCACTTGATTTCAATTTACTTAGCTGATGTACCTCATTAGATGACAAAACATATAAATGCTATAATTAGTTTAAATTCAGGTAACTACAGTACCTATATTCGCAAAATCAAATACCGTCTAAAAGGCGCATGATGATGTCAATTTACAAATTGGACAGGCAGGCTCTATGATGCTAATCTAAGTAAATTTTGATTATTGTTATGCAAAACACCAAACCTGATGAAATCAAGGGATGAGAGAGGATGGTTTTCAAATTTACAAATAAGGGAATCTTTTTCTTTCTCCACAGCTTTGTCATTAATTTTTCAACTTTGGACTCACCTGAGTAAGAAGACCTTGATGCAGGGCACTGAAGTTGAGGAATCCCACTGGCCGAAAACCACTCCATTGGCCACTCAAATGGTGCATCATCATGGTTTCCAAACAGACTTGCCCATGGTATGCCTCTGGCTTTTGTTGGAGAGATTGCTTGATCCCAATACAAGGTTGCATTTGCAATTGCCATGTTATTAGCCGTGATGACATCCCCAAGATAAATTACAAAATCTGCCATGCAATTGAGGCTAATTACAGAAATTAAGTAGCAGCCATATCATGATTTAAATATATCATACAACAACTTATTGTTAAGTCACCAATCGTCCCAAAGCTTAAGCTATTAGGAAATGGGCCGAAGTATCTCTCTCACGTGCAACCCTATCTTGCACGTGGAAAGACAAACATAGAACCCAACAATGTATATATATAATATTCTTGAGTGTATTTCTTGGGCTACAAGGAATTATATTATTATTCAATGAGGAAATTGGATCCTAGGGCTCCATAAACAGTTAACTAGGTCAAGAGTTGAGACACATAAGAGACATGACGTTAGAAGAAAGATGGTGGGTGGTAAGAGTAGGAAATACTGAGGAACACAAGGGTTCTGACACCAAAAAATGAAGAAGAACAAAGAAAGAAAGTCACATAATTGTGGTGTTTTGCAATGCTCTCAACTTTAAACACTCAACCTATCTCTCAAGAGTTTCAGTTGAATGCTCAAGTCCTATGAAGCATCAACATGTCAAAACAGATGCCATAGACATATTGGAGGCAGACATGGCAGGGATACGTGTTCGACTCGCCATGTGGCATGTCTATTTTTTAACAATTTATTTTTTTGTTGAACACAATGAGGACATTACATGACACACTCGGGGACACATCAAGGTTTTGTTTTATTTTTTCAAAACTAATTTTCTAAGATCACATTATAATATTTGGAAACATGAGTGTTAAATAAATAAAAAAAAAAAAAAAAAAAAACCTCATACCAAATCATTGACAATGCAACAAAGATATAACTACGGTTGTGAAGTTGAGAGATTGGCTTCTAACAATGCTTGAAGCCCTAATGCAACACAAATCTAGTCTTGGATGATCTAAAGGTATGTTTTATGTTATATTAATATTAGTTTTCATTAATTTTGGTGTTTATAGATGTAATATTTATATACATAGCAAATAAAATATTCTTTTCTTTTTGTCATATTGTTGCCATTCCATAATCTTTTTGTTAAAACCTACCATCACCTACTCTACCTACTACACCTACCACCACCTACTACCACCTACTACACACCTACCACTACCACCTACTCCACTACATCTCCTATATAAGGAGCCCCTCACCCTTTGTAATATACAAATACATAAATCAATAATACATCATTTTTTACATGGTATCAGAGCAGGTTTAGAACCTAGTATTTTCGCTTCCCTGGCGGGCGGCAACCTCACCTTAGCCGCCCGCCGGACCTCAACCTAGTCCGCTAGAATCTTCTTCACCACCTCCGATCTACTTCCCTCCTCTTCTTCTTCTTCTTCTTCTTCTTCTTCTTCTCTCCCAAAGTGTTTGCCAAAATTCCATCTAGGGTTAGGGTTTCACACACAGAGAGAGAGAGAGAGAGAGATGGGAGTGTTCACATTTGTGTGCAGGAGCTCCGGCGACGAGTGGAGCGCGAAGCAGCTCTCAGGCGACCTTGAGGCCTCGGCCGGGTCCACATACGAGTTGCAGAGGAAACTTGTTCAGGCCTCTCTCTCCTCCGATTCCTCCGGCGGTGTTCAGTCTTCTTTCTCTCTCTCCATACATATACACCCAAATCGAAGATGTATATGGCATATGGATGGCCAGAGGTCATCCCTCTCAAATCTGGTCCCTGTCCTTCTTCCGAGCGGATCATCTATCTCAGACTCACTGCCCCTTCAAGAATCACTGCTGCTAAAGCACTTGCCCCACATGGGCATGTCCCTCTAAAACCAAATATATTTGTCCACCCACACACATCATCATAATCTATATTCCATCTCCCCCACCAAAAAATAAATAAATCATATCACCTACCAAATATTCTCTATCTTTTTTTTCTTTTTTTTAAATTTGGGTCATCACAGTGAGCGTGTGCAGGACCAGTCCTGAGGGCTTCTGTCTGACTTCTGTTTTGTCAATTTTCTTCTCCCACCATTTCACGGTTCCCATTGCAGAATTACTGCCATAATAACCCACACAGCACACCATGAGTTGGAGCCATAATCCAGAGCACTTTCTTTTCTTTTCTTTTCATATGTTTATTATAATATTTTTTTTTACACATCACACCCTCTCTCCACTTATTCATTTTATTATTATTATGCACCCACTCAGACTCCAGAACCCACACACCCACATATATTTATTTTGATTACTTTTCATTAGTATATTCCTTTTACTTACTTTTCTATTACTGGTAGAAACCGCCCAACTTTGCATCTCACCTTTCCTTTTTTTTTTCTTTTTTTATTACTTTACCATTCCCATACTTCTCTTCAAATTTATTTTCTTTTATCCTTTATTTTCTCCCACTACCTCTTTGTTTATGTCAGTGCGATACAACGGAAAAAAAAAAAAAAACAGAAGAAGCCGAACTGCACACCAAACTCATTTTATTCATGTCGGGGCTCACCCCGATCACCATTTTACACCAAAAAAAAAAAAAAAACCATAAGGCATCCTCTTACAAAGGAAAAGGGAAAATCACAAAACTAAAGCCTAGCAAAAAAGTCTTAAAGCAAACATTTACAAATCACACACTGCCAACCAATCTTTAGCTAACAAAAAACGTGGGACCCCCTTAAAAAGAGGATTCCCTCTCCTCCACTACAGCATATGGTGGCCCTCCAAATCGGAACATCACGGTGGCCTTCCGCTTCAGCTCCTTATTTTCCGCCTTTAGCACACTTATCTCTGCTCGCGCATTCTTATACATGAGTTGGAGCAGAGCCAGTTGGGCGTTTAACTGCTGCACCTCATTTGTTCTACTCTGCAGCCGGTGCGACAAATTTGTGACCGCCGTCATGGTCTCCACACATGACTTCAAAGTATACTGATTGGCCTCAATATCCGTTTGCACTGCCATTTTTTGCTCCACCGACCGCATCGGAAAGTTCAACGGAGCAAAGCCAGAGGTGTTTGGTTGAGGTTCACTGGCCCCCGCACCAGCTATCTCTCTTGTTGACTCGTTGAGGTCGGGAAAGAGCGTGAGCAGACCACGGGAAGAAGAGGCCATGTTTTTTGGGTTGCTAAGTGTTTCAGTGAAGCAGCGATTACCGATTGGTACTGTCAGACAGGGTTGGTTACAGAGTGTTTCAAGATTTGCAGCTCTTAGAGACAAGCTCTCCGAAAGTTCAGAGGTTTCAGACTGGTTTACACAGCCTCCGCCTCACCCTTGGTTTAAATAGCCAGGGCCGATCCGCGCATCGCGCGCCACTTGCCGACAGACGACACAACGGGCGCGCAAGCCAAGGTAGTCACGCGCCTCGCCATCATGTCCGGCACACCTTTTGATAGATTGGGCACGCCTTTTGATGGCACGCCTTTTGAAAGATTGGGCACCCCTTTTGAGGGTGCGACTTTTACAACGGTCCGACATGACCCCATAAACTGTCCCGACATTGATTCCGGTTAGCTTTTCCAGTGTCCTCTACAACGTTATGACACAACCATCCAGTGTCCTCTACGACGTTATGACACAACCATCTCGTCCACTGTCCAGACTTTATCTGCTACAACGGTCTGCCCCAACCATCCAGTGTCCTCTACCACGTTATGACACAACCATCCAGTGTCCTCTACAACGTTATGACACAACCATCCCGTGTCCTCTACACCGTTATGACACAACCATCCAGTGTCTTCACCAACGGTCTGACACGACCATACAGTGTCTCCTATCCTCTTTTATTTTATGTATTAGTCTATTTTCTTGTTTTGTTACTCTCTCCAAACTCAAGTTGGTTAGTTCCTATCCCCCTTGAGTTTGCGGGGGCTGTTAAAACCTACCATCACCTACTCTACCTACTACACCTACCACCACCTACTACTACCTACTACACACCTACCACTACCACCTACTCCACTACATCTCCTATATAAGGAGCCCCTCACCCTTTGTAATATACAAAATACATAAATCAATAATACATCATTTTTTACACTTTTTTTTTTTCTGAAATCCATGTGTCCTTTGTTCGTGTCCGTATTTGTGCTGAAATCATAGCTCAAGTCTGTATGATCTTTTGTCTTTTTTTTCCGACAAGTAAAGGTATTATTAACAAGGTACCAACCAGGTGCCCCCATATACAACAAAGAAGCAAAAACAACCCAAAGGTCCTATATAATATCTCAAACCTCATTAGTCTCTACAAATTTTTTTAAATTGGTCTAGGGATGGATTAACAATCCCCACAAATTAGCCTAAAAGAGGTTGATCCAACCCCTCAAAGGTCCTCTAATTATGCTCTCTCCAGACTAGCCAAATCAAACATGGAATGCAAAAACCCAAACCTTCTTCAAGAGTGGCGTAGCTAGGATTTTAGTTTAGTGGGGTCATTTAACAAGTATCATCAATATCATTATGCATGTGTACGTTCTACACGACCTATATCAAAATTAATTTTTATGCTATAATTTTATATATTTCCAATCGCATCGATAAAAGAATTCAAATTTGTTAAATTACATACAGAACAAAAGTTGAGATATTAATATTTCAACAAAAATTAAGCAAAGATCTACACTTACACAATTATTGACAACAAGTTTCCATTTTTTTAAATAGTTATATGATAACCTTATTATTTATGCTATTAAATACTTCTTCTTCTTCTTCTTCTTCTTCTTCTTCTTTAAATACTTCTTCTTCTTCTTTTTCTTTTCTTTAATGTATGTGGCCAAATAATCATTGATTCAGTCATTACTCTAAATAAATTAAAAACTCTCTTATTGGGTTCTTTATTAATTACATCGAAACAAAAGATTTTTTTCACAATTGTAATTGTAATTGTAATTGGAAGAATTAATGACCATAATAATTATAGTTGTTATTTTCATTACCGTTATTTACAAATTTTCTCCAAAATTTATGTTATAATGTGCATTAATACGTGTAATTTTTAAAACTAAAGATAAATTTTAGAGTGTATTTATAATAAAGTGAAATAGAAACAACAATTCTCTTGTGTTTTTCTAATTTACTGGGTTTAGTTAGTAAAATCTCAAACATTTTAGGTAACTTTCAAATTTACTTTAACAACATTTCAAAGTTGAATGGTGTCACTTGACAACACTCCCTAAGCTATAGCTCCACCAGTCTATGCACGGACATCTCTCCGGAGGGGACGTACAAGTGTCCAACATGTGTTGGACACGGGCATGGACACGGACACAAACACGTGCCAGACATGCTTTAAACACATGTCGGACACATTGGAAAGAGTCAAACATGCTGGGATACATGGGACACTCTACAAACACATTGGGACAAGCTAGGACATGTTAAGGATACATTGAGGGCTATTTTTTCCCCAAAAAAAAATTAAATAATAATTTTTTTTTTTTTTACCAAAATAGCATGCCTAATGTTAATAAATTTGATAAAATTAAATATTTGACATAAAATACATATTAAATAGTTAAAAATATGGCATATAATAAATATATAAAATTATATGTTTTGCACATATTCCCAACATATCGTGTCTAGCATTTTTTGAAAATTTACATGTCCGTGTGTCCGTGTTGTGTCACGGGTCTGTGTCCGTGATTCTTAACCGCCAGTGTTCTTCAATCTCTTACCGACCCTTCCTCCTATCCAAGCAAAAAAAAGATCCACCACACTCATCTCAAATACCCAAAGAACCTTAAGCATATCAATAATCATCTTTAGTGTCTATATCCCATAGAAAGCCCTACAATGCTCTGTCTAACTATAGCTTAGGCCGGTCCCAAGGAATCAATTGATCAAGAGTAGGCCTTCTAAGTGAAGGCTGTGGATTGAAAACTCCCTCCTCAAAGCCAACACCTTGTTTGTGGGTTCCTGGCATGACCCTAATATTAACAAAACTATAATGAGAAAATAAATAAATAAATAAATAAATTCATATTTTTGTAGCTATATAGGTTGAAATTGAATAGAAACACCTAATGATATATTTTTGTAGTATTGGTCCCGTTTTATTTCAATAGAAATTCATATTGTATTTCACATATTTGTTAGAAATTTTTTTTGGTTACATATATGTTGAGCTCAGCCGTGATTAGCATCATGCATCTGTCTCTGTCTCTAGCTATAAGATTATCTCCAACCCTTCACCAATTTTTTCAACTAATTTGATTCTAAATTTGAGTAAAAAATTTGATTTGACATGAACTACTCCAATATTTTCATCAAAATCATTTTTAAAAATTTCCCTTCTTCATCAAATTTAAATTTGATGAAAAAAATATGAAGGATTGAAGATGCTAGTCTCACTAATGTTTTGTCAATATTCTATATAGAAATAACCATTAAATAAGAAAGTAATGAAGGCTCTTATCCTATTTATTGGTAAAGCAAGTTAACCAGAACTACTGCCTAAAGCATCAAACAAGAAAACCCAGAAATGCAGTTTGAAAAACAACATCCAAACAATGCCTTAAGCTCATAGATTTTTTTGAAAGTGTTTGGGTTTTAACAAACAAGGCTTATTAAGCTCATAGATTTTGATAAAATCAAACCTGGGTTTTCTAAATCAAGTACAGTGGACATGACTTTCAGAGAATTGACATCTTGTTGAGGACCCCAATCGTTCCAAGCGTTCTCGCCAAAGTGCAGGTCAGCAAACAGAGAGATCTTGAACGCTGCACCCGGAAGTACCTGGAGGTAGCCTTCCGGCGTGGTTCGTAGATCCACGGTCCACCCGACGGCCACAATGAAGCGGAAGAGGAGAGAGAGATAAGTGACGGACAGGTTCGTCCAACACCACGCCATTGTCGAGCAGAGGAATGCTAACGACAAGAGGACTGGGGTTTTTGCTGTTTTTAACTGGTTTTATTTTATTATTTATCGTTTTATTACTACGAAAAATTATGTACCACCCACGTTTTACACTAATTTTTTAGATTATGTAATGTAATTGATTGGTGATGGAGGATATATGAAAAGGTGTTACGTACGAGATGTTAATTAATTATTATTGGATCATTAAATTTAAAAATTTAAGTTAATTTTTGAATTTGTAAATATTTTGACTTGTTTTAAAAAGTTAGTTAACAGTTGTGAAGACAAAAAAAAAAAATATCAAAATTTCAACTCAACTTTTCAATAATAAAATTGGCTAGGAGAGACGTTAATGATGATTGTTAAAGTCACTTTTCAATAATAAAATTGGGGATATGTAAGACTCAACACAAGTTTTGTTATGATAATTTAAATTGTTTATTTTATAAGATCTGTAATGTATATTATCCGTAAAAAGATTTAGAATAATTCAATAATCATAACATTTTTATTTTATCTCATTTGTCTCTTGATGGTCAATTTTAAAAGTATGTTTGTCATTCGTTTTTTTGGACATAAATGCAATAAAATGGTAATGTTATGATTATCGAATCGAATTAATTTTTTTCATGAATACTATACCTTATAGGTCCTTGCAAAATAAATACTTCAAATCATCGAAATGGAACATGTGGTGAGCCTTATAGGCCCCTCAAATTCTGCTATGTTAAGATCTCAACATGGGAGAAACCTAACCCATTTTGTTATAAGTTCTTTTTTTTCTTTGGAAAATTTTATGGTACACGCCCTCTTTTGGGTGTGTACCATATGCGATTTTGATTACGATTTTTGAATTTTTTGTTATAACTTACTGTATTATTAATTATAACACATTTTGATATTAATTATGATATTATTTTTATTATAATTTAAAAAGTTATTTGATTATATTTCATGTGATATTTGGTTATAACTTCTTTTTTTTTATAATTATGCTCTTATAATATTGAGTTATGTTATTTGTGATAATTAAATTTACAAATAATATAACTTACGTATGGTACATGCCATCAAAGCATTACCCATTTCTTTTTATTAAAAAAAATATTTTATTTATTAAATTTTTATCAGTTTAAGAAGTGATGAGTGCACCCATTCCTTGAGCGAATTAACCACACAACTAGCATTCAACACACCACGGCACCTTCCCTAAGGCATCAAAGCATGATGCCAAGAAATATACTTTTTCGGAAAACGACAACCAAACAAACAATGCCTTCAAGATAAGACTGTAATGCTGTGTTTGATTTAGGGATTTTAAGAGGGGTTTAGAAAGAGAAAGGAAAAAGAAAAAGATGTGTGAAACTATGTGAAATGTAAGTATATTTTTTTCACATTTTATCTATATTTTCCATTTTCTTTTTCAAATCTCTCCTCAAATCCCTCAACCAAACACAGCATAAGTGTACCGAGTCAAATTGAATTTTTTAATATTTTGACTTATTTATAAAAAAAATTAATTAAATTCAATTAAATTTAAATAATCGAGTTCAAATTCGACCCACAGATATTTAAAAAAAAAATTTAATTAATTTACTTATTAAAATAAAAAATTTGTGAGCAAAATATACAAAAATACTTATATTAATAATAAACTTCGTCAATCAAATAAGTAAATTTACACAAATACTAAACACAAATAGAAAAATTAAATCAATTATTAACAATTTATTTTAATATATTATTAAAATTAAATATTTATTTATTTATTTTTATGTTTATCAAGCTGAGTTTGAGACTAGTCAAACTTGACTTGATTAATAAATGAGTCTAAAAAACGAATTTAAACTCGTTAATTTAATAAATAAACCGAACTTCAAAGAGTTTTAAACAAGGCGAGCTCAAGCTGTTGATGTACGACAGCCCCACTTCGAAGTATTTGAGTTTTGGCAAACAAGCACTCAAGCTAATACAGATGTTGATTAAAATAAAAAATAAATTAAATTAAATTATACTTGAAATTTAGAAAAAAATATATATAATAAATCTCTAATTTTGATATAAGTATATTGAGAGTTTCTTTTTAATTTTATTTTATATAACATTTAACTTCATTTTCATTAATAATTCGTTAGCTATATGAATGAAAAAAAATAATATTATTATCTCTTTTATACGATAATGTATACTTTATGTAGTTTATTTTTGTATTTTCGCAACAACTACATTAATTTCTATTTAATTAACCTTACTAAAAGAAATGTCCGTACAATTATATCAAAATTATAAGAATTATTGTATTTTTTTTCTAAATCTCACATAAAATCAGTGTAATCTATCCTAAAAAATAAATAAATAAATAAATAATAATAATATTCAAATGCAAATGCAAACCTGGGATTTCAATATGGAGTAGAGTGGACATGACCTTGGAAGAATTAACATCTTGTTGAGGACCCCAATCCACCTCCTCCCCCTCCCCGAAGTGCAAGTCTGCAAACAGGGCGATCTTGAACACTCCTCCAGGCCCTACATGTAGATGCTTTTCAGGCATGGTTGGTAGAGCCACGGTCCATCCGACGGCCAAGATGAAGAAGAGAAAAGTGACGGACATGATCGTCCTGCTCCAGCACCTCAGATATCTTGCCATTGTCTTTCGGAAAATCAGAGAAACATACCTTAACGACACAAGACTGGTGTCAAGTGTTTTTTTTTGTTTGCTGTTTTTAACTTGCTATGCATGCTTTATATTTGTTTATTGGTTTGAATTTTGTTTTGGACATGCACATAAATTTTTATTTTAGTAGTAAAAGTGGACGTGCGATGTACGTCTGCAATCAATATAAGATCCTTCTATGTGAACACATCTGGTAGTAACCATTTCTTTGTCAACTTTTGATGATAATTCAACTGCTTGCAATGTTGCCATACTTGCTATATTAATTGTTGAGCAATGCTACGTATCATGAAAAAACTTTCATGAAAATGATCATAAAAGATTTATGACCTTTGGATTACACTTAAAATAAAACAACACACACTAATCAAGGTAATCCAAGAGTCATAAATTTTTCATGATCAGTTTCATGAAAGTCTTTTCATGATCCCTATCTTTTCTCTTAATTGTTTGCCACACCTTATTAGAGAGAGACCATTTTAGCAACCAATATAATTATCAACAAGGTTATTTTGTATTGCCAATTATTATTGAGTCCTTCTGGTGTTATTTATCAAAATTGTGTTGTTTCCCCCACGCTTAAGAAACCATATATTCTTAGTGGGAGAAACAAGACAGAAAAAAAAAAATAAAAAATAAAAAATAAAAATGATAAAAATATGAAAGATCTTGAGGGAGAATTCTTTATATTGTTATATACATTCATATATGTTTTATATATTATTTTGGGTAACTCTGATTCGTAGAATGATTCAAACCTCTTCATGGTTATGAACACTAGATGAGGGACGTTTTGAGCAACTTGAATTTTATCTTAGAACTGTTTCGCTCTGGTTGTACCTTCATGAGGGAAGTAAAAGCAGTTTTAGGACAGTAACAGCACAACTCTCATAATTTCACAACTATTTTTCTCTACTCTTGTTTTTGTCTATATATATATATATATATATATATATATTATTATTTGTTGTTATTGTTATTATAATATCCATGCTTAATATATTGTTAATTGTATTGCTAGACTAACATTCTCTTTACTTGTTTATATTTTTCGCCTTAGACTTTATGGTATTAGACTCTAAAAATTGAGAGTTTGAGATTTTTCACATGTCATCGATTGCGATACAAAATTTCTATTGTGAAATCAAGACAGCGAGAGAGAAAGAGGGAGAGAGGGGGGTCAAAAAAAAGGGGGGGGGAAACATTCTAAACCTGAATTGTGAGAGAAACAAACTAAGAAAAAATTCATAAACATAGATAGTAAGGGATGAGAAAGAACAGCTCCGAAGAAATTGTTTAGTGTGTTTCAAATGGCTGAGGAAAAGAAATTAGGGTTTATTACGGTTTGGTCCCCTTTTTGGGACTTATTACTTTGTTAGTCTTGAAGAATATACTTATGCACGGATTAGTCACGTCATATTCATTGTTTTACCTTTTCTACTCTTCAGTGTTTTATTGTCTGCCTTCTCTTTGTTTTGCCCTAAATAATGTTCGTTGTTCTCTCTCTCTCTTTTTCTCTCTCTTCCTCCAACTATTTCTCCAGTTGGTACATACCATTGTTTTTGTTAACGTCGCTCCGCTCACCTCAACCATTGTCCTCTTTTGTTTCCTTTAGCGTCGCTTGCTTCAACTATCGTCGTCTTTCGTCGCCTTCAATGCCATTCACCTTAACTACCGCCGTCATGGTCATCTCCCCCCCTCCGCCATTGTAACATTCCCCAAGGAGTATCTGCGCACGTTAACAGTTCAAACTCTCGATTTCTTCGATCTAGTTTCATGAGTGGAATGTGAAACGTAGGCGAGTGTCCAAATTTGGCAACTTTTATAGAAAATTCATTTTATTTAATCTTTGCCAAAAATAGATTGCGTCATCAAATCTCAGAGTCGCCACTTAATATTTTAGAAAAATTAGGAAACTCGTGACTCGTGTCAAGGTCACTATTCGTCATAACCAAGGATACTTGGCTTGGAACCTTAGGTATGAGAGAGAATGTCATTAATTGAGCACTCCGGCTCACCCGATCAAAGATCGGCCTCTACTAAACCATGATATAAGTTTTATTAACTTTATGTGTTCATGTTCCAATTAGTAATAAATCCTAAAAATTTCTACGCGAAGCAAACATATATAGACTGTGTCATTCAATTTGGAGGAATTCGATTTCATGTATCTTTGAAAGTGTTTTGAATAGTGCAACCATGAAAATCAATTTTATTCCAAATTAAATAACACAACCTTGTAACAACTCCGACCTATGACTAACCCTTGATCCATGATTAAATATGCTTAAGATGTAATTAAGGTGAAATTCTGAATTAATTGTGTGTGAGTTGCATTATTTGTATTTATATCTGTCTGCTGTAGGAATATCTGTTTATATTTCTGTTTTGTTCTGCGATTTGAAGGCCTTATCGGCATCCAATTACGAAATTGACTTGGTTTCTATGTTATTCAGAATTTCTAGAATTTTATGATAGGTT